AGGGAAAGATGATTGATTGGTTACCCGCGGTACTAACCGACCGAATCTGTGCAGGGAATCCTTAGCTCCATTGGCAGCCGAGGTATTTATATATAATATCGGCCTCCTCCTCTCCATCAAAAGCTTCATCTAATCAAAACGAGCCTAAATTTATATGTTTGGTTGATCTGTATCTTCTCCACAGGGAATCTGAAAAAGCTTGAGCGCTAGTAGTAAACCTGGAACCAGCTCAAGCTTCTGTCCAAGCTCAGGTACGGACGGTAGACTTGTTTGCTGTTTAACCAAATAGCCCCCGTGTCCAGTTTTGGACGCTTTCTGGTTTAGAGTCTCTCTCTCCTCGCTATATCTAATCTATGTATGTATAGTCGCCTTATCAGCAGAAGATTTAGTAGGATGTGACAACATTTTCCTCATATATTTAATCCTGATGAAACGAAAAATTCAATCTTTTTTAGGACCCACCGAGTATTTAGACATCCTTGCCAAAAGAAACCGATGAACCCAACCAAAACATAACTGAACATGATGATAACCATGATTCTAACATGGACCATGACATAACTCTTTTGTTATGGGCCCTAATGAAGACTTCAAAAACATGTTGGATAGGCCCATACACTGTAATAGTTCGTGGGCCTTAATGTGATTACCCAATTTTATGCAACTTGAAAATGGATAGAAGTATGTTGCAATTTCGAAATTATATTATCATCCATGTTCTATAGTAGACTCCAAGGGATAATATTTTAAATGTAATATGTGTTTTTTTTTTATCATTTATGAAAATATAATAAAATAATGTTTACCTATCTCGTTAGTTTAGTTTGAAATAAATATCGCAAATAATAATAAAGCATACAGCAGAGGCGAGACGAAAGCCGTCGGATACACCTCCGCCAGAAAAATCTTATGAATGGACGGTTGATAATAATTCCATCTTATGGGTCCCACATGTTCGCACTAGAAGACAAATGCGTAATCCATCGTCCAATGACCCGCCGCAAGCGAGTGGCTTTGACGACATAGAATCTGAACCAGCAAAAAAGTGGCGATAAAGTATTTTATTATATATGAAAATCAAAAGAAGCTCATGTGAGGCGCGAATAATGAAATTAGCCACGCATTTATTTATATAGAATTTTGAACCGTCCCATTTATATATTTTCATCTTTATTGATTATTATTTTTCCATCTATCTAAAATGTTTTAATGGTTCCCTTTTATTTTATTGTGAAATTGCTATATCGCGTTTGACGGTTTTGCGCGTTCAAGCGGCATACTATTTTTACACGTGTACGATTATGGCTAAACTAGTATTAAGATAAATGTGTGTGTGTATATATTATATGTGCGTGTGTACGCGTGAGGAAAAAAAATGATAGATGACAAAAGATATAAAAACATATGGGCGCCGAACTCTTTGGCTACATATGACCAGTTTTTCTTCTCGTTGCTTTTCTTTTGCCGTTTTTCTGTAGCCTCTTTCGGCCTTTTCTTTGCTTCCATTTCCTCTTATTAATTTTCATAAATGATTTTATATGACACACACACACACATATATATATATATGTATATATATATTGCATGGAAAAGCTGAATGGAATAAGAATTTTCAATTTTCGGATCCAGTTGCCGCTGATATTTATTTTTTCAACTTCATAATGTAAAATGCGTATATATCATATTTACTCGGCTACAGCCAGATCGGTGCAAGTATTGCTGTCCCATTTGATTTCTAACTGCATGCATGTATAAATTGAATTAAATCATGGATTCTAAAATGCTTGTGACTTAGTTTATTAGGATAAAGTTTACGATATTGTGATGGATAAATCGGTGGGCGATCTTTCCAAGCGCCTAACAACTTGCAAAGATATATAATATATAAAAAAGATAGTTTATTTATTCATTGCGTAAACCAAACCTATCAATAAAACAGTTGTTTGGATTCAATGTGCAGATAAATTATAAACACGATGTTGCAGGCTGCAAGGAGCAGAGAGACGATGGCAATGGGATCATGCAGCATGCAGAGGACACGTGTGCATGGTGGACGTAACACGTGTGCCGGAATTACATGCATCCATGTGCTCTCCATTATCACAAATCGTGGTCTTCTTTATTAGCCCGACGTGGCTTAGGGTTCACCAAATTTCACCCCTCCATACATATATATATATACATCATACATGCATGCATTTATATATATATATATATATATATATATATATATATATATATATATATATTGTGCGTGTGTGTGTGGAACATGCCTCTAAAAGTGATTTATAAATGTGAAAACGGATCGGTATTTTTATGGATTTGGAATGCAGTAGGTCTATGAAAAAAAAACAAATAAAAAAGAATATACATTGGTTATAATGAAAAATATCAATTATATCGAATGATTGCGGAAAAAAACAAAAAAGAACAAGAGATGGTGATCAAAGAAAATAAAAGGACCCAACAGTTGGTGATCCAGTGGCTGAGAGGTGATAAAGTCATCCTCAAGGTCCTGGATTCGATTCTACTGGTGGGGAGAGATATAATTTCTGGACTAAAATGGTCTATATAAAAAAGATGGTCTCGGGTTTAGAGTGGATGTAGTCAGGTCGAAAGTACGAGAAACCATTCTGATTATTAAAAAAACTAAAAATAAAAATAAAAGGGCGCCAAAACTCAGAGACACTAACAATGAGTCCCAAAGGGCCGCGAGTTCTGTCTGTCATTTTATTATTTAATTTAGATATTTTTTTTTTCAATTCTACATTGTAAATTAAGAAATGGTGAGAAATAAAAGAAAAAAATAATGATGAAAGTTGTTTAGATAATGGAGTGGTCAAAGAAAGAACAGGAAGACCAAATTACGTAATAATTGAGACAGAGGAGATGGACACGTGGCAATCTTGGACCATTCCCAATTATTCCCTTTTTCAAATCCATGATTTTCTAATTTAGTGAAACCTTAATTACCATAAAAAAAATCATATGTTTCGGTGTTTGGATTATGCATTTAATTATGTCATAATGAAGCCTAAACATTGACCAAGACCCATCATTATCTTCTATCAGAATAGTTTGATCATTTCACCTATGATATTGTATAAGTTTGAACTTTAAATAAATAATGTCGAGTTATTTTAAACCAATTCATGTTATATATATATATATATGTAAAAAATATAATCAATATTTTATATATAATTAAATATAAATATTCTCTCTACTGCAAGAAACAAAGCGTATACGTATATGTTCATGTTATAGGAACCTTATACCTCTTCGTATCAATGTTTTAGAAAAAAGATAAAAATCAATATAATAGATATACAAAATATAAATTTAAAACAAAGGGAATGAATAAATAAAAGGAACGAATAATGGAGGGTGGTGATGAAGATCAAAGAGAGCAATGTGAAGATCAGTCACCGCCCATTTCATCCTATCAAAAGCTTCCACTTGCCCTTTCGCTGTCCCCCTTTAAAGTTATTTCATAATTTTGTTATACGAATTGTTTTCATTCATAAATCCTTGAAATAAAGGGATAAATTAACCTATTATTCAGGATAGCTTACTAATAAAATATTGAGAGTACAGTCCATATAATATCTAGGATGAACAATGGTTGTTGACTTCTAGACGAACATTTGCTTATTCATTAATTTCTCTTTTACGTAAATAAATATTATTGTTGATGGTTAACAAAAAAAATATATTATTGTCGATGAGTTAATCCATGCAATTTTCAAACTGTCTTTATCATTGTTTTGAAACTTTTTGAATTTTTATTTTTATTTTTTAATTTTCTGTTCCTAGACATTTTTTTTCAATATGTAAATATTATCCAAATAATTGTATGTATTGTATTTTAGAGCTTGTATACTTTTTTTGTATACACATCTACTAAGCAAATATTCGGATCAACGAGTTTTTTTTTTGTTAAAAAGATCAACGAGTTTCATTCATACATACAAACACAAGATAATTCAAACCAATATTTCATCCAAAGTATCCTTGTGGTAAATATTAGCTGTGACTTCAAATATCCCCATTTTGTCTAAATAAATTATCAAACCTCATACCAAAAAAAATAAATTATCAAACCAAATCTTATATTATGATCTAAGCATTTTCTTGGTTAAGTACGAAAGTCTCTCTGTCTGTCCATTTCCATCACTCTCTTTCCTTGGCCTCTATAACTGTGTCGTGACGTCTCTCTGTCTCTCTCTCTCTTCCAAGTTCTCTCTCTCTCTCTCTGAAAACCCTAGCTAGAGAGCAAAGTAAAACACGAGACCTCCACTATTTCCAAAGACTCGAATTCACCAGAGATAGCCATCACCCAAAGACTCCAAGTTATCTGACGAGAGAAACGAAAAAAAAAAAGAAAAGAAAAAAAAATCCGCGAAAAGGAACCCTATTCCAAAGATCGATGATGAACAACTTCGACTCTTCCTCTGCGTCTCTTAATAACGACTCTTCTTCGTCTTCTTCTTCAGCCTCCTCTTCTCACAAGAACTGGCTTGCTTTCTCTCTTTCTAACAACATCAACTGCTTAAACCCTTCGCAAAACCCTAATCTTGCTTTGCCCATTTCTTCTTCGCCTTCTTTGTCAGCTGATCATCGTCATCATCATCTCTCCCTCTTCCACGCTTTTGCCACTAACCCTGGTTAGTCTCTCTTTCCAAGCTTTTGTTGGAGCTCTTAGCTGCATGTTCTCTCTTTGTCGTCTGTAAAAAAGTGGTAATTCGGGATGCATTATTTATCTCTAGATTTGATTTTTTATAAGGTTTTATAATATCTATCCTATTATTGAGCATATTATGTTGGAGCTTTACCATAACCGGTTTATTTTATGTTTATATATACTTTGAGTTTTGTATTCTGTTTGTAAGCCGGGGTGCAACTTGTAAACCGTCGCCAGATAATTTAATTTCGAGGATAGATCCTGTTCTACATTAAAAGCGAGAGTTCTGTCTTGTTGAAGAATATCATTTATTCGTGGTCGATTAGAAAAAATGTTGCCTTTGCATGCCCGTAATATCATCTCATCGCTACGTACGTAAATCATCAGATGCACCCGTGAAGGCACAGCTTCAAGGACGATCGCGAGACGGGGCTTCAGGCGGCAGCGAGACTTCGCCGGTGATTCTCTCCGTTTTATCCGGCGGCCCTAAACTGGAGGATTTCCTCGGCGGCTCTAGAGCCACGACGGCGGTCCCTCCTCCGCTTACAACGCAGGTTCCACTGCAGCCTCCCGCTGGCGTTGTCTTCTCCGGCGAGCCTGCGCCGCCGTATGCGACGGAGATCTACGACTCCGAGCTGAAATACATAGCTGCTAGCTTATTCGGAAATTTCTCCGGCGGATCCACCGGACACTCGTCGGAGGGCACTATTGTTCATCAACAGCCGCAACAACAACAACAACAACAAAACCAAAACCGACGTGTGTCTGAGGCGTCAGGTCCGAAGAAGAACGTAGAGACTTTCGGACAGCGTACTTCTATTTACAGAGGAGTCACGAGGTTCGTATACGTACTTAGCTTCTGCATGCATAATTACATACACATTCTATTATATAGTCGTACGTGTTATTACGTGAATGGAATTGTATATCATATATATATATATATGTATTTTTATAATGTAAATCTTTTGATGCTGTTTTTCACATAAAAAGGCATAGATGGACCGGGAGATATGAAGCTCATCTGTGGGATAATAGTTGCCGAAGAGAAGGCCAGAGCAGAAAGGGAAGGCAAGGTAAATTTCATTTCTCTTGAATTCGCATTTATTTATATATTTATAAATTTAATTTCCCCGTCGGTCAAACCTAATGTCGCTTTGTGTTGTTCTCGTGTTTTTGGTCTGTGGCATGTACTTGGATGAATCATTACCCCCCGACCGTGGGCGATCTGAAATTGCCAAATCATTATATTTTCTTCAGTTTATTTAGGTGAGCCATCAATAAATTTGTATGCATATATGTATGTATATATATATATATATTCGAAATGGTTGTAATAATTGAAAGTAATTCATGTTATGTTCAGGTGGCTATGATAAGGAAGAGAAAGCAGCAAGAGCTTACGACCTCGCAGCTCTCAAGTACTGGGGTCCCACTACCACTACTAATTTCCCGGTAACTTTTAAATACGTTTGAAATTTTAGTATATTGTGTCATGTAAATAAATATAATGGAATATTTCGACCTTCTAGTCTCTACCATTTTACGTTTTTTTGAAATGTATATATAGATTTTTGCTTATGTACTACTACTAAATGCATGTGTATTTGGAATCAGATTTCGAACTACGAGGCCGAGCTCGAAGAGATGAAGCAAATGACGAGGCAAGAGTTTGTTGCTTCGCTTCGACGGTAATTTCGCGACATGATGATCCGATCGATGTAATTCGTTAATTTCACATATAACAAACTATATGATATTTTTATGGTTATATATCGTTTGCAGGAAAAGCAGTGGATTTTCAAGAGGAGCATCCATCTACAGGGGTGTCACAAGGTATACGTTAACACTAATCCGACATTCATGTCCAATTTTCAAAAGAAATTCCAAAATTTCCCCTACTTTATTCGAAAAGAAAGGCATGTATATTCTTTTTTTTGTTTGGCAAAAGGAAAATATATTTTTTGAAATAAAATTATATTCTAACAAAAAGAAATAAAAATGTATTACAATTGTCCGAATTGTTCACATTGTCCGAATGCAGACATCATCAGCATGGCCGATGGCAGGCTCGAATAGGACGAGTTGCGGGCAACAAAGACCTTTATCTCGGAACATTCAGTGAGTTTCACTCAAAAGTTATACAATCATATTTTGGAATATTATTTGTGTAAATACTTTGATACAAAATCTGCTGTATGTATATATATATGTGTGTGTGTGTCCATCCACATAAAATATGTATATAGTATATGGATTTAATATAACTATTTTTCTTTCTACGATTACGTACTTATTAGGCACTCAAGAAGAGGCAGCAGAGGCATACGACATAGCCGCGATCAAATTTCGCGGCCTGAATGCGGTCACGAACTTCGACATCAGCCGTTACGACGTCAAATCGATCGCGAGTTGTAATCTCCCCATTGGAGGGTTAATGGCCAACAAATCCAAGACATCTTCATCCGACAAGGCCGTAGATTTTCCGAATCCGCCGAGTCCCGGTCCCGTGGCGATATTCCCGACAGGAATCCCCGTCGTAAAGTCGGACTCTTCGGCTGATCATTATTGGTCTAACGTTTTAGGGTTTCAGTCAAACCCTAGAGGCGAGATTAGAAACGACATCATCAACAACTTCGTCGAAGAAGGGTGCAATGGTAATTCCACGTTGGGTCTGTCCTCGGGAATGGCACTGGCTCCGTCGACGACGACGATGACGACAGGTAATGATGTGAACAATGGTACTGAAGAGTATGGTGGGAACATGAACTGGATTCACGACAATGTTTCACATTCTTACCAAACTGCAAGATCGAATCTTTCCGGTTTGCAGACTCCGATTTTTGGAATGGAATGAGGTCAGCAGATCGAGGGCCAAAAAAAAAAAAAAAAAAAAAAAACGAGGGAAGGGTTGGACTCAATGGGCCTCTTTATTTTTTTTTTATAA